TTAAAAAAAATTAAAATCATCAAAATCATGTTAAAGTTTTATCTTCAAAATAGTTTTATTTAAAAACCATATATAACGTTTTATTAATACTGAACAAATGGGTATTTAAAGAATTATCTCACCATATAAACATGACAAAAAGAGAATAAATCAAGTAGAAGAGATGTGTCCAAACAAAAGAGGAAATTGATGAGATATGATTAACACATTATTAATAATAAAAAAAAATAGTATGTCATGTTTATAGCGTGACATATACTGATTTTTAATATTAATAAAACATTATACGTGTCTTTAATATTATTAGTGTTATTTTTAAATTTGATATTCTTAAAAAAATTCATTATATAACCTGATCTTTATTTTAAAATTAAAGTTGTAATGCTTAAATAATTTTATAAAAATAAATTGTTGTAATGCTTAAATATAAAAAAAATGAGACATGTTAATAATTATAAATAACTTATTACAAGAAAAAAGCAAAACCCAACTATTAAAACAAACAAACTTAATTTAATTGAATGGCAACAAAGCTAAACGACAATATGTAATATGAACTCGCTTGTAACTGAGGCACCGGCTCCTTCAACTTATCAGTTGATTATGTGAACAGAATCTGAAATTTCATTGAAAATATAAAATTCTTGTTTCCTATGTTTCATCACTTGATTATGTTATCAAAATATGAAATTCGATCGAAACTGTAAGATTATTTTATTTTTATTGTTAATTTTTATATGATTCATTGACTGAGTAAAATTTGAAACTCGAGGACATAAAATTTTGTTGATGTTTTGTTTATTTTTTTCATTTTATTTTATTTCATTCACGTTGTAATTAAATTTGTAAATATACAAATAAATTTTATAGTAAAAAAATTATTTGATAATATATATATATATATATATATATATATATATAAAGTGATAAATGAATTACTAATTTGATAAATATAAATATATTTAAAAAATTTAATTGAAAATATATTATGTAAATATTAAACATCTACTTTACATATTTTAATCATTAAAATATGGTAATCATATATTTTCAATTGATATATTTTCATGAAATAAAGTTAATATATATTAAATTATCTATAAATATAATAATAATATTTACCTACACTAATATAAAGGTAATCAAATATGAACTTTCACCTCCGAATACCTTCGTATTCATGAGAATTTTTAAAATCCTCAAAAGCTTTATTCACCTCAGTCACCATCGTTTTTTCATCTTATTATTGTCATTGTCTAAAAATAAGTCTATGAATATTATAAATAGAATGCACCCCCAAATAATAGGTGACGATATTTACCAGCAGAATGAGGCATGAATCTGTCATTTCCTTCCAATGTCTTCAAGATTACTTCCACAGTAAAGTTGATGCAAACCATGAAATTATTGATAAGCCTTCACAATACAGGAGAGAACATGCAAGATATATAGTTTCTATTTCTATCCAAATATCATTTAATATATTTAAAAATACCTTTGAGACGGTCCTATCTATTTATTTATTCCACTCCCTTCTCCTTCTTATCTTATCTCTGTCTCTATTTCTGAGACTCTTACCAATATTATTTTTTTAGTTCAATTGTTTATATTAATGTTGGGTTTTATTTGCTTGTTCGAAGCGTGGTTTCACTCTTCTTCGGAGCTGTATTGTTTGAAGTTTCAAACATTTAATTACTAGGAAATTCCATTAAAGATTTCTGTCATTTCTCGTAACCTGGACCGTTGAATCAGCGGTTTGAAAGAGACAGCACTGCACAGCACCGCGCGTCTTCACCAACGAATGAAGAAACCAACCCCCGATGTTTTCTTTTCAGACACCTCTTACATGCATTGCCAAAATGTTGTACTTTATCTCGTTTCGTCTTTAACACAACACCACCTATGCTTCTAACCCGCCATTATTCCATTTTACATTATAATAATAATAAATAGTTGTCAATAGTCACGTAATTATTCTACTAATAAATAATTAAATAGAAATTATTAAAATAATAAATATACTTATTTTAAATAAATAAAATAATATTTTATTTAATCAATTCATGTTATATTTTTTATCATTTTCTTTTACTTTTTTTTTAATTTAAATAATCATAATTTAACTTCGTTAAATCCATTCCTCAATCTAAACATAAACTTAATGTCATATAAAGTAATTATTTATTGAATTTATTCCTTTCTATTCTTTTATTTATTTATTATATATAAAATCCAATAAATTTATGTATATTAATAAAGATTTATATTGATATTAATATTATTTATAATAAATCTCATACACAATAAAATATTTAAGAAATATATAAACAAGTAAAGTCATATCTAGAGGTAAAAATAATAATAGCTTTTTAATAAAGTCTATCAAATGACTAACAAAGATAAAGTGATCTTTTTTTCTTCATATTATTTATTTCTTTATTTTTTTCCTTTTTTATTTAATTATTGTAAATACAATATAATAAATTTATGTATATTAATAGAAATTTATGATTTCAATATTTTCAAAATCGAATATGATTGATAAGTTTAATAAAAACAAATCATAAAATTAATTTGTTATTTAAAAAACTTTTGGTTAAATTGATATCAGATTTTAAAAAATTGATATAAAATTAGTAAAATTAAAAGTTTTGATTGAATTTTTTGACCATACAAATTATGATAAAAAAATAAAAAAATATTTTTTATTTTTAAATATAATTGTTTTATAAAGAATATATTATATTTTTAGATTTTTTAATTTATTATGATTCTGATGATCATTTTTATTATTATAATTATAATTATTTTTCTATTTTTTGAAAAAATAATAATTATTAATAAATTTATTATATTATAAAAATATTTTTTTATTAAATTTGATTGTATTTGAATTAAAAAATATAAATAAGGAAAGGTAGAGGTCTTGTAATAACAACTTTTTATAAAGTTTTGTGAGAAAGATAAAGTGATATGTTTAAAAGAATTCTTATTTATTTTAATATTATGTAAAAAAAATTGATTTGGTGCATCTGAATAGTTTTTATTTATTTATTGTAAATACAATTAATAGATTAGTGTATGTTGATAGAGATGTTTACGTTGATATTAACAGTATTTTAATTAATCTAACACTTGACTGTATCTTTCGAATGATTATGATTGATAACTCTAAAATTTTTTGATATTTTTGTATGGACTAATATTATTTTTTTACTATTATATTTAATATGTCTTTAATAATGTTTTTTAATTATATTGTGTATGTGCGTAAACCCTAAATTATTTTTTATTTAATTTGTAAAAAAAAAAGTATTTATTTAATCATTAAATTAAGTTACAATCACTATTCTCTCATTTGTGCCTTTTATTGCAGCATACTGCTATATAAATTATAAACAAAACTCTTAATTGATTTCAACAATATTTTGGTTTTGCGGTATCAAAAACACTTTATTCATATTTATTGCATCTATAATTTCATATTTTTCGATTCTATCTTTTTATTTTCATAAATAATGTCCAAATAAGAAAGTATGCAAGTAATCCTTTTAATGTTAACAATGAAGTGAAGTAGTTTTTTCAGTATTGAAAAATCTATCAAATGATAAGAAGAAATGTATTTATTCAGGAATCAAATTGACGTATATTAAATACTTAATAAATCATTTATACAATTTCATAATTGTATTACTTCCGGATTAATTGTATATTAATAAATCCTTTTTGTTGTTTGGATAAGATTCTCCAAAAGTACGAAGAAAATTAAAATAATTTGATATATAAGCTAAAATTAATTTATAGAGAGGTTTAAAATAAAATTTTATTAAAACTATATAAAAGCTTTTACAAATTAACTTAAACTTATACACAAACTTATTAATATTTTCTTGAAAGATCAAAGTGTACCTTATTTATATATATATTATCAAAATTATTGGCTTATTTATTTTCTGGTCAAATTTATATATATGTATATTTTTTATGTTATCTCTATCACTATTTCCGAAACAGGTTAGGTTTCACCACCAAATACATTTTATCTTAGTAGTTCAATTGCTTATATTAATGTACGGTTTTATGTGCTTGTTCGAATAGCGCCGCTTCACTCTTCTTCTGAGCTGTATTTTTCGAAGCGTCAAACATTTGATTACTAGGAAGAGTGGTGATATTTTGACAACCAAAAATCATACCATCCTTTAAATAACTCACTTTTATTAATATAATATTCTATATACTGATTTAATAAAAATAAAAATAAAGTAAAACTATTATTATAATATTAAAACAGAGTTGTTTCCAGGAGTTGTATGAATTTGGGTTGTCAAAGTATCATTTTCCTACTATTATTATATCATTTTTTTAACCTCGACTGTAGAATCAGCCGTTTGAAAGAGGACTGCACACACTGTTTAGAAAAACTGATAATTAAATATGATCTTCTTCCTAATGATCAAACATATATATATATATAATTCCATACTGTAAACATGTTATAAACTAAATGCGAAAGCGTACCTGAATTAGCCATAATGCTAATATTCTCTGTAGAGCACCTTTGGTTTGATCTTATGGTCTTCCACCTGAAAAGCACCTGTATTTCCCTCTTGATTTTCTCTCTTAATGGGGATAGAAAGAAAGGAACGAGACTTTAACTACGTTCTGTCTACATGCTCTCAGAAGGGGACCATGACCCTTTATATAATCAAAATTAGGTTAATTACTTAAGTTTTAATATTTTCAATTTGGTCCCTCATCAAATTAAAAATTACTTTATGGTCTCTACACAATATTATTTTCATGACATATGTCTTTAGCTAAAACTTTAATTTATTCAAATTACTTTATTATTTAGCTTAATTAATATATAATGAGTGTAACACATCTAAATTTCTATGGTATATATGTCCATCACTCGAATTTTTTACAACACACACAGCTATGAAGAAACCAATCCCCGGTCTTTTCTCTTCAGACGCCTCTTACATCTTAAAAGCACGATGCTGCTGGTCCGCCATTTCATGTGTGCATTCACTATTCCATGGCTTTTGTCCACCATGTTTCTACTCAAGCCCTGTATACCAACCAGGCTTCATGCCAAAGTTCATATGCAAGTTCGTATCCAAGTTCATATCAGTCAGCATATTGAGATGAAGGGGAGAGGTATTTTTGATTTACGGTGGGTACCACCTGAAGCGAATGCTGATCGGAAAAGTGGCCGAAAAGGGGTGATGTTTGAAGATGAATAACGGGACGGAGAATTGTCGGAATGGTATGTACTCTCAGGATCGATATCTGTATCGGCAGATCGACTACTCCGCTGGTTGAAGGAGGAAAGAACCCGTCCAAGGTATTTTTAAATGATACCTTGGTTGTTCTCTCTTGGAAGGAGGACGAGAGACGCATGGCAACTATAAGATGGGTGCAATGTTGAAGCTCATCATCGTCTATCTGGTTGAGGCTAGAGACTTAGATGAAAATATTGGATATGAAGGAATATGAAGAATTTTTTTACTGTCCCATATCATCTTTACAATAAATCTTTCATATCTTTTTGGATTAAAAAAAAATCATCTTCTTTTGCTATTAATATTTTATTTAGGTTCATAAAATTATTTACTTGTTTACAATAAATCACACTTGTTTCGCGAAGAATATTAAAACATATTCTTTTAAGAAATAATAATATGTTCTTAGAAGCACTTGAGTTAATTATTAATGAATTTTGACCTGAAATGCACTTGTTGCAAGAACTTTGACTCAAGAATCTCATTTGAAAATATTGACTCCCTTATTAAAGAAACCATGTAAAGAATAGCATTTATCTTGAATATGACTTATGTTTTTATAATATATACATTGATTACGTTCTTTATTAGCACACCTTCTCTACTGTCACAATGTCTTCTTTCCCAAGTAAATATCCGAACCATGATTTAACAGATTCCTAAACTTTTGTACTCTTAAGAATTAGAATGTAGAGAGTGAAGTTTTCACTAAGGTATTTTTTTATCAGTAAATGATTTTTAATTTTTAGAAAAAAAAATGAATAGCGTGTCATGTTTATATCATAGGATATATTTTTTTAAATACTGATGGTTTAATATTAATAAAACATTAGACGTGTCTTAAATACAAATATTTTAAAGATAAATCGTTAACACAGAATGATTTTGATTTTTTTTAATAAATTATCACATTTGGAATTATTATCATTTTCTACTCATTTTAATACTTTTTTTATTTTGAATATACTATTTATTTTATATTTTATTTTATTAAGAAACTAATTCAAAAATACATTGGATTCTTTCAAAAAAACTAATAATTTATTATTAGCTTTATTTTTAAATTTAATTTTCTTATGTTTTTCTTTCATTATATAACTTCATCTTTGTTCTAAAATTAAATTTCATCAAATTGGAAAGAAATTATAAATAGTCAAAATAATTATATTAAAATAATTTATTACGATTCTTAAATATATAAATAAATGAGATATATTAAAAGAAACAAAATTTCACGTTTTAATTCAATGGTAATATATGAGACACTGGTGCTATTTAAGAAAACGTATTTTATGTTTATTTTTTTCTAGGATTTAGGTGGTTGTTGTTAAATTAGAGATAGATGAGAGATAATGTAGTGTTATTTTATTTTATTTTTTTCATCAAATATTTTTTTTAATTCGTGTTTCTACTTTATAATTCCTGGTGGTTTCGTCTTTGGCCATGTGATTACTACATCCGTTATCAAAATACCAATTTCTGCTTGTTTCATCATTGGAGTCTTGGGTAGCATAGAAAAGATGTTGTTGAAGGTCATGTTTTTCAGCAAAAATTTGTTTGATGCTTGTTTTTTATGCGACAATTTTTCTCCACATGTCCAAACTTCTTACAATGTTGGCATTGAGATTTTCCACGATATCAACGATCTTTCTCCAAGTGACTTGACTTTTTGCAGATGCCACAAGGAAGAAATTTATCTTGACTAGACTTGGAGAAATTTCTAGAGTTTTCTTTATTTTTATAAATTTCTTCAATTTTCTTTTCTCCAATTTCTTTATTCTGATACCATAATTTGAGTTTCGATTGAAAGACATTTTTGACAAAATCTTCATTATACCTTTTCAATCTTTGCTCATATGAGAGAACATATTAGTTCTGTCACCGATAAGGTAGACAGATCTTTGATTTGTTCAATTGTTGTCATAATTGCATCATATTTGTGGGGAATAAAAATTAAAATTTTTTCAACAATTTTCTTGTCTAGAATATATTCCCCCACATGCTCTCATTTGACTAATTATCTCTTTGATTCCAATATAGTAGTCTTTAATGGTCTCAGACTCCTTCATACTCAATAATTCAAACTCATGTCTTAGAGTTTGAAGTTTAATGGTGCGTACCTTTACACTTCCTTGAAACTCCTCCTGTATTGTGTTCCATGCTTATTTGACATTTGTGACATCCATTATTCTTGGAAAAAATGCATCAACCACAACTTGTTGTAGAAAGTATAATGCCTTTGAATCTTTTGCTTGTTCTCTTTCAACTCTTTCTTCTGAGTTGTTCTTAATGTAGAAGCATCTGTAGGAGTAACGAAGTCATCCTCAACAATCTCCCACAGATCTTGAAAGCAAAAAAATGTCTTCATTTTAATGTTCCAAAAGTCATTATTTTCTCCTGTAAAGATAGGTAGAGGAATAGATGAAGAGTTGACATTAGCCATTTGTTGGAATTGGTATGAAATATAGTAGAACTTTTTGAAGGTGGTTGGATTGTATCTATGTCCAATAGATGATCGAATGTAGCTCTGGTACCACTGTTAGTATTTTAGGAAGGATAAGAAAGATGGTTTGATATTAAGTAGTGAGATTTGTGTTGAAAATAATTTTTAAAAAGAGGTGGACAAATAAGAGAAGGTTTATATGAGGGAAGATAGTAATTAATCTTGGAAGTGATACACTTCAAGTGAGGGGTCACCACCTATATATAGGCATGAAACACTCCTCTCTAAAATCTTTTAGGAACATAGAGATAATTTTTCCTACAGTACACTTTATATTATCATTCTAGATTTTTCTAGTAATTCTAGAGGCTACTTAGATAGAGTTTACAATTCTAATACTCTTTAGAACTTAAAGAAAGTTTCTATAACTTGATTTTCTTGATCTTTCTAAAATTTGCATCACTTTTCAACATTAACAAGTACGTGAGAATGATGGAGACCGTGTGGAACATGAAGAAATAGAGCTAATTTGGTTAGTGTGTAGAGATTAGAAGTTGAGCTTCCACAGATGTATTGTTAAGAAGAGAAGCAAAAATCCTGATTTTCAATAGTTTGTTGTTGATCAGGTATGTAAAATTTAGGATCAAGAAGAAAACAGTATTTGCTGCAGTTGACATCCATAGTATGGGCATTTCTTCCACAAACAGATATAGCCATTCTGACTGAACCAACTCTTGTGGCTTTTGTTCTCCATATTGAAACAAAAATCATGCTTATGGCAATAAAGATTTTCAGTGTACCCTATGTATCCACAGTGATTACACATGAGAGATGAAGTAGTTGCATTGACATGGTATCAATGCTAGCAACAACAATAATTGAAAATTAGAGTTCAAGGTATAGGATCATCAAATCTGACATTGCTATATTTCTAATTAAGTTCAAATCTGACATTGCATTGCTATACATTCATCACTAACTGTATCATGCATCACATTGTCATTATCTGATAAATAAACAGATATTCAGAATGTTTAAGTTGAATTCACCCAACAATAGAATAGAATGCATCACATTTTTTCTTATGTGTTATGTTGAAACTCTAAACATACAAAGAAATTGAGCAAACAAATAGTTGTTATTAATATCAGCTAATAAAAAACATTTGGCAAAACCACACAGTACATGTGTGAAATAAGAAGACCAGCAATTGGTCTTTTGTGTTCGGTTGATGAAGATGTGCATTATAACCGTGTCTGTTTTTGTATTGTTGTTTGTAAAGTTTTTGATACAATCCAGGTAGAAGAAATGAAAGTAAATACCAAATTTAAAATTTTGAAACTTGTATACACATCTCAGATAAGATTCAACAAAGAAAGAAATACCATATTGAAATAATACTTTGAACCAAACGTATAAAATTGAAATTGAAAAGCGTCTAATAAATAAAATAAACTCATGTCTTCATAATTAGTAGGCATTTAAATAACTAATAGTTTTATTTATGTGAGCTTATCTAACCATACAGTCATAGTTTGTCTAAATTATTACTTTAAGCTTGTGATATTAGTTCATAAAAAAACTTCATTGTATTCCTTATCTCCTATTTTTATCTTGTAGAAACACTTCTTGAGAATTTTATAAAAAAACAAAAAAACAAAAAGATTATTATCCCAGTTAGTGTTTTATAGTTTGTAACATATCAATGATTTTTAAATTAATATTATTAACCTGACTTCAAACGTTTAGAGGATTACTTACTTAATTTTCTTATTTGTGCATCAATTAATAAAAATAATTAAAGATGAAATTTAAAATTTATCATTATAGATATATAAAATGGTCGAAGTGGGTGTCCATTTATAAGTTTAAAATATAAGTTATTTTTTGCAATATTTGATAAAAGGAGGTATGTTTTCTTTTCTAGGACATGGTGTAATATTGTGACTTTTCTTTTTAAAAAAAATACAAACTTTAACTTGATTGACTAATTCTTTCTCATCCCTCTTCTTTTTTTGTAAGCTCGGATTGTTCCATTAAAATATGATAAATAATGATAATAATAAAAAAAAGTTATCAATAGTCACCAACTTGTTGAAAAAAAATGAGAGGGAGATTGATGGAAATGTTCTTGCATTCCCAAGAGATGATTTTGATGATGATTTAAGTCAACTACATTTAAGTCAACACCATTCAAGAAGAATTTAAGGACAAACTGAATTTATGACGTAGGTGACAATGTGAAACATTTCCATATATGTCCAATATATGTTTTTGATAAAGATGATGATTCAAGCAAGCCCAAGATAGTTCCTGAAGACTAGATAGAGTGTTAGAATACTTGGATATGGAGGTATAAGTTGATGAAGTAATATTATACATAAGCCTCCAAAGCACAAGTGTGATAAAATTCATAACATGATATTTTTCACTGTCATAATTAATTATGATGCACCAGAAATGAAAAAATAATTTTCTCTATCATAATTAATTATACTGGAAATATAATCAATTATGACAATTCAAATTTGAGAAATATATTCGTTTTAAAGAATAAATGTTTTTGAATATATCCTGATTTTCTCTATGATATTATTAATGTCCAACGATCATTTTTTGATGTTATTTTTCTATTTAATTAAGTTTTGATGAAAAATAAAAAACACACAATTACAGAATTTGAAAATACAATTTACATTCAATCAGTTTTGAAAAAAAAATTCTGAGCAAGGCAACAAATATATTTTACACCTTTTGAGAAAACCCTCTTCTCTACTGCCTTCTGTGCTTTCATTGTTAATCACACTTGTTCTTGGAGATTGGTATTCTACAAGCTTCTATAATTTGTTGTCTCCATTACCCAGGTATGTCTGTTCTTATTTTTATTACCTTCATCCTTTTTGCATTGATGAAAATGAGGTGTTTTTCATCCATAGTGTGATTCTAGGGAGAGATTCATCCTTAATGGGATTCTAAGGAGGTGTTTTTCATCCTTTGATTTATTCAGAGGAGGTGTTCATCCCTAGTATGATTCTAGGGAGGTGTTCATCCTTAGTGGGTTTCTAAAGAGGTGATTATCTTTTTAATTAGTTTACTTTTTACTGATTTTTCTGCTGAGTTGATTGTAATTTGTAAACTGAATTTGAAAGATAGTGAATGACGAGTCACTCTTGTGTTAAGAGTTGACTGGGAACTGGATGTAGGGTTGGCTATACCCGAACCAGTATAAATCTCTGTGTGCTCTTCTCTTTCCCTTATCTCTTTCTCTTTTACTGATTATATTATTGTTTCCGCTTTAACAAATTATTGACTCACAAATAAATTTTAAATTTGACATCTATTTTAATTTATGCATCTATTCACCCTTCTAGATGTCATTTGTCTAACACTTGTAACTTTAAAAAATGTAAAAGTTGGAAAAAAAACGACATTGAAAAAATGTGGAATTTTTTCTCTTTCCTTCTTGATATGTGACAAAAGTATAGACTTTTATGATTCTTTTCATAGTCAATTATATCTTAAATTTTTTAAAATATTAATGATTTAAAATTAATGAAATAATATTTTATTTAATTAAATTACTTTTATTTTTTATCATCTTTTTATTTTTTTATTTTACCAATTATATTTTTTACTCTTTTTTTTATTTACTAAATCCACTCTTTAATCAAAACACAAACTTAATTTCATATCAAGAATTGTTGATTGGATAAATCTGTTCCTTCATACCTTTTAATTTATTTATTATTCATCAAATCCAATAATTTATACATATGAATAGATATTTATATTGATATTAATATTATTTCTGATAAATCTCATACACAATAAAAGATTAAAACATATATACACAAGTAAAGTCACTAGAAAAAATAATAGCTTTTTAATAAAGTCTATCAAAAGACTGCAAAGATAAAGTGATATTATTAGAAGAATCTTTTTTTTAATGTTCCAAAAGGATATTTGATTCAGTGAATTTAAATAATATCTTATTTTCTATATATTTTTTATTTATTTAATTTTTCTCAATTTTTTATTTAATTATTGTAAATACAATACAATAAATTTATGTATATTAGTGGAAGTTTATTTTGACTTCAATATTTTCAAAATCGATTAGATCAATAAAAACAAATCATAAAATTGATACAATTTTATTTATTGTAAATACAATTAACACTACTAAAAATTCTCATTTTTCATGGGAATATTTTTACAAAGTTTTTGTAAAAATTGCAAGAAATACGTTTTTTATAAATTTAAACAATTTTTTGCAAGAAAATTGGCAGAAAAAAATTAGTTTTCTAGTAGTGTAATAGATTAGTGCATGTTGATATTAACAGTAGTTTAAACCCATTAAGTATGTTTAATATTTGTTTATAGTTAAAAATTAAGGTTGTTTATAATTAATCTAACACTTGACTGTATCTTTCGAATGATTATGATGGATAACTTTAAAATTTTTAGATATTTTTTTTATGGACTAATATTAATTTTTATATTTAATATCTCTTTAATAAAAAAATTAATTATATTGTGTATGTACGTAGACCCTAAACTATGATTGATTTAATTTGTAAATAAAAAGTATTTATTTTAATCATTAAATTAAGTTACAATCACTGTTATTTCATTTGTGCCTTTTATTGCAGCATATTGCTATATAAATTTGTAGACAAAATTCTTAATTGATTTCAACAATATTTTGGTTTTGTTGTATCAAAAACACTTTATTCATATTTATTGCATCTATAATTTCATATTTTTCAATTCTATCTTTAATTTTTTTTGTTCATAAATAATGTCCAAATAAGTATGTAAGTAATCCTTTTAATGTTAAAAATCAAGTCAAGTAGTTTTTTCAGTATTGAAAAATCCATCAGAAGATGGTTTTGAAGACACATTTGTTTTATTCATTGAATGTTGTTGGGTTTCATGTACTTGGTTCGAAGTACCGTTTCACTCTGAGCGGTTATTTTTTCAAAGTTTCAAACATGGTAATTACTAGGAAATGCCATTCAAGATGTCTGTCAGTAACCTCGACTGTATCGACTGTAGAATCAGCGGTTTGAAAGAGACAGCACTGCACAGCACCGCGCGTCTTCACCAACGAATGAAGAAACCAATCCCCGGTCTTCTCTTTTCAGACGCCTCTTACATCTTTGGCCAAATGTTGTATTTCGTCTTAACAGCACCTATGCTGCTAGCGCGCCATTTTATGTGTGCTTTCACGATTCCATGGCTTTTGTCCTCCATGCTTCTACTCATGCCCTATATATCAGGGTTCGTATGAAAGATCAGATACAAGTTCATATCAAAGTGTATATCTAAGAATAGTAGTAATCCAGTGAGCATACTGAGATGGAGCGTAGAGGTATTCCTAACTTACAGCCAGTGCCACCGGAAGTGTATGGTGAAGGGTATCCATACGCTCCGGAAAACTGGCCGGAAACGGGTGATATTTGGAGGTGGAGAACTGGACGGAGAATTGTCCGGAAGGGTATGTACTTTCAGGATCGTTATCTATATCTGCCAGATCGGCTACTCCGCGCGTTGAAGGAGGAGAAGAAGCAGTCAGAGTCAGCACAGTCCTCGAGCAAGACCCGCCAGAAATACATCTTTGCGAGCAAAGTGGCGTTTAAAAATTACATAAAAACATATTTCCCTGGGACGGATCCTGAGGCCGTTTTCTCTACCTTCTACTGGAAGATTCCGGCTTTACCACCAGGTTACGGTCTCTTTTCTCCTATCACTTATTTCGCTCTTTTAATTCGTTGTGTTACAATGATCTTTGTTTTGCTTATTAAAATGATACCACATTGAATAAACAACTATATTTATGATGTTGTGTTGTGCATCACAGTGAACGAAGTGGCTATACCTGCTATACCTCTTCGTCAGATACCACCTCAAGCATTGCCTGCACCTGCTATACCTCTCCTTCAGATAGCACACGAAGCATACAACTCAAACGGTGACAACGCGGTAAGATGTAAAACCAATAACGACAAGTGCCCGAGTATGATGGTGATAGAAGTAGAAAACTATGTTGCATTCTTTATTTGTGGCCAAACTGTCTGTCCAGATTATGGAGGCTATAATTATGTCAAGTGCCAACTGAATCCTGGACAAGGAATATGTGGCCATGTTTGTCACATTGAATGTGCCCTCCGATTTTCTTGGATGGCAAAGTTGGAGAAAAGATAGGGTTAGACGCTGAATACCACTGGAGACGCTGTATTGGTAGAACTGACATGATATCTCATGTTTATAATCTTCTTCAAACATGTAAAACTACGAATTTGTATCCATTCTGAAGAAGATTTTGAATCTTGGTGCTTTTCTGGTGCGGGGTTCAGGGAGACAGGTTGCAAATGAACTGCTAGCTCGAATTGATACGGCCGTCTCAAACACTATTAGAAATTCTCGTAGGAATATTATTTTTTTATAAAAATTATTAGAAATAAGTTTTCTATAAATTTAAATAATTTTTTACAGAAAAATTTGCAAAAAATAAATAACTTTTTAGTAGTAACAGGTATTTTTAAATGATATTTGGGTAATGCAAATAGAAACTATCTTGCTTGTTCTCTCTTGTGCACTGAGAAGGCTTATGAATAATTTGATGGTTTGCATCAGCTTTACTGTGGAACTAATCTTGAAGACATCTCGAAGGAGGATGACAGCGTCATGGCTCAATCTGTTGGTAAATATCATCACCTATTATTTTTACTTTCTACTATTACCATTTTGTTACATGCATATTTTGTTGGTTGCATTCTACTTACAATATTCATAATCTTATGTTTAGACAATGGCAATGATAAGAAGGAAAACACTGGTGGAAATGTTGAAGCTAATGATCCTTTACCCCAATTGTTAACCGTAGAGGTTGAGGTGAACCAAGTTATTGAGAATTTTAATTCTCGTGGGCGTGAATGCAGGGTAATTGTGGAGAGGCTTCAGTCAGAGAAAAGACATATTCAAAAATTATATCAACAGTTACATTACGAGAAAAATGTATTAACTGGTGACAGTTCAACAACTTCTTTAAAAGTCTCCAAGATCTTAGAAATAGAGGCACAGATAAGAAGAGGGTGGGATAGATTTGATGAGACAAAAAAATTAGTTAATGATTTTAGTATTAGATTTATTCCTGTAAAGAAACACTTTAATCTTTGAAAATTAAATTGATTGAACAATTTCTCAAATTTTTATAGTTTTAGAGTATTTAAAATGTTTCCATTAATTCAATTTAAACAACACTTATCAACAAGTTACCTGTAGTAATACTAAATATAAATGAATACAAAAATTGAATATATATTTACTTACCACTACTAAAATACAAAATGATGTATATTAGTGTAGGTAATATTATTATTATTATTATTATATTTATAGATCATTTAGTATACATTAATTTATATTTATAGATCATTCAGTATAGATTGATTTTATATGGTATATATGACATAAATATCAAGAGAAGGTTAATTGAAAATACATGATCAATATATTTTAATCTATACATCTTTTAAACACGTGAATAAAATAAAATGAAAAAAATATAAATAAAATGAATATTTTTAATTAAAAAAATAGAAATAGAAAAACAATCACACAAATACAATTTAGAATTATTTTAATTTTTTTTTAAATATTTCTCTATTCTTTTCAGGAAGTTTTTGCATGACACTCTGATTCTATATAAAAAAATGAGACAAACGAAAGAAATTTTATATTCTCGAATTTCAGAATCTACTCGGCCTATCAACTACGGATTAAAAACTAACAATGAAATAAATGGAAATAAAAGAATTTCATTTCAGTAGAAGGTCTGATTCTATGATACAATCAACTGACAAAACGTAGTAATGGAAGAAAGAATTTATTTTTCGATAAAATTTTGAGATTCTGATAACCTAATCTAATAATAAAAACGTGGCAGTCGGGTGGAACTCAAACTGACTAAAAGAAGGAACACTACATTGTTTCCCGTCTGACACCAATTTAAAATCCTAAATCCTAGAAATGCACGTGTGTTGTTGAAGTAGTGTCTGGTGACTCAGTTATCATTTTCCCCATCATGATATCATGACAACGAGTTCAGCTCCAATCACAGTTTGAACTATGTGGATCTCGACGAGTGTAAGAATGGAAATATCAGCCATTATATTAAATTCAGAGAGTTTCTTTGTTTTAGAATATAAGCACCTCGTGTGGATATGACACGGCTTGGACCTTCCTCTTCCATTTTAAAAGAATAGTAAAAAAAAAAACACTTGCTTACAAATTTCTCTCTCTTACAAAGAAGGTGCCTAAATTATAATTAATAGGAAAATGATATTTCACAACCCAATTCCATATAATTCATCTAAGCAAACAAACTCTTTTTTAATTTTATAAGAATAGTTTTAATTTATTTTTATTTTTATTAAATTATTTTATAAATTATTATATTAATAAAAGTGAATTATTTAAAAAGTTATATGGTTATATTCAGAAACTTTAATGAGTAATTTATTATATTCAGATATAGGTTATATAAACCGTTTTTAGAAACTTTTGATTAATATCTCTTATTCTAATAAATACTTAATTTATTTTAAATATGTGTTAGGTTAAATTAATTTGGCAAACAAATTATTAAGAAAAACAAACTGTAACTGTGATTTAGTTAATGATAACAACACTGTTCCTTTTCCTTTGTGCAAGTACAATATTGTTTGAAGGGAGATTGATATGAAGGTTATTAGAAAATAGAAAAGCACTCAATTGTGATAACAACACTGTTCCTTTTCCTTTGTGCAAGTACAATATTGTTTGAAGGGAGATTGATATGAAGGTTATTAGAAAATAGAAAAGCACTCAATTTGCACAATTCTAACCTCAGCTTCTGCCAATGATAGGTGACAGTCAAACTTCTTCGGTAGGCTCAGAATGTGAAAGGTCTTCACGATTCCGCATCCAACGCCCACGGTGAGATCTTTTATGAGCCCGGTTTTAAGTTGCTGATGGTGTTAAGTGCCCGGTCTTCAATATTTCAAGTTAACTTCAGGCTTTGGATAAAAGATATATTTCATGAAAAAAAAATTTACAATTAAAACAAGTCGATCAATTTCAGACTTTTCGTAAGTGATGAAACCTACACATTCCCTATGGCACGAGCTCTTAATATTTTCATTGTCAATGCATTTAATATTGGAAAGAATAGAATGTATAAATTATGGTTGAGAAATGAGACAAGAGAGTGGAATCGGGGAGAATTGAAGAATAATAGAAAAGGTTGAGCTGTTACACGATCATTAATAGTTAGTTTCGAAAATCAAGGAGAAAAAATAATTGTATTGGAGAAGTTGAAGGAAAATATGAAGAGGATAGTGCTCAAATCGTTGAGCATTGAGGACAAAGATTGCAAAGTTGTGATTAGGATCCGAGCTATTGTCCATGAAAAGGTATGAATTGTTACTGAAGAGAAGAGAAGATTCGAGTTGATGTTGAAAAAAATATTTCAACTATTATAAATGAGAAGATCCAAATTATAAAACACAATCACACGATATTAATTATCCGAATTATCAAACTATGACCGAATCGTTGGTGTGAAATAGGTGGATGACAAGTCAATATTTTTAAATGGTATCTTTAAGGAGGAGGTGTATATTGAACAACCATTCAGATACATGAAGAAAGATGAAGAGGAGTCGGGGATATTTGTGTCCCAAAAAACATATGCAAATGATATTCTGAACAAGTTTAAGATGTCGGATTGTAATTCGATCTCAACCCCATGAAACTAGGGATTAAACTTTTCAAATTTGATGGAAGAGACTGAGTAGATATCGGAACTTAGTTGAAAGTCTTCGTTATCTAACAAGTACCAAATCCGATTTAATGCTGAGTGTTGGAATTATCAATCGATTTATGGAGAATCCAAGCTACTCTCCTTGGAAAGCGTTGAAACGAATATTAAGATATATATGAGATACACTATCATTTAGACTGTTGTACAAAAAGTCAGACAATTATCGACTTATGAGGTGCTTGGACTGATATGGATATATGAATGATCAGTAAATGACTTCAGGATATGTTTTCTTCATGGCTAACATAACGTTTACCTAACTTTCAAAGAAGTAACCCATAGTAACATTATCAACCTATGAAACTGAGTACATAAAGGTATCATGGAATGCGTGTCATGAAGTATGATTCAGAAATTTATTAAGTTTGGTGATGAAAAAATAACTCGATGCAATCGTAATTCGAATTGATAATAAGTTGATTATTAAACTAGCTAAGGAGTACATAAAGATATCATGGAATGTGTATCATGAAGTATGACTTAGAAATTTACTAAGTTTGGTGGTGAAAAAATAACTCAATGCAATCGTAACTGGAATTGATAATAAGTTGATTATTAAACTAGTTAAGAATATGATGAATCATGAAAGAAACAAACACATTTATGTACAAATTCAATTCATCTGAAAATATGTGAAGGAAGATAATGTAAAACTTGTACATATAACAAGTTGAGATCGAATTATTCATATTTTCACGAAACCACTGTTAGTATTATGGTGCTTGATTTAGTCCCACATCGATTAGGATTGTGAGATGAGGTTCTCTATTTTGTTATATAAGCAACCCTATGTAAAGTTTGAGATACACACAGAAATAAAAAAATACTTCCTAGTGTAGTCGTGGACGTAGGCATACATATTTTAGCCGAACCACGTTAAAATTCTTGTGTCGTTTATTTTTCTCTCCTTTATTCTTTCCTTTATTATTGTCTTGTTCCTAACAATTGGTATCAAGAGCCAATTTTCTTAGTATGCTCTGTGGTTGCAGCTTTGTCTCGATCTTCCACATCGAAAAGATTTGGTCTTTTTTCTTGGGAATCTCAGTTTAGAGAAGCAGTGGGAGCTTTCTTCGAAAGCGAGTGAGAGCAATGGCATTGGAAGAAGGAAAGGTGAGGATCGAGAAGTTCGATGGCAGTGACTTCGGGTTCCGGAAGATGCAGATGGAAGATTATCTCGTATCGAAGAAGTTGTATCTACCCTTGACAGTGCGAAGCCAACCGACATGGAGCAGATCGAATGGGAGTTGTTAGATCGGCAGACGCTTGGTGTGATCCGGCTGACATTAGCCAAGAATGTTGCGTTCAACATCATGAACGAGAAGACAACCGTAGATTTGATGCAGGCGTTGTCAAATATGTATGAGAAGCCCTCTGCAGACCAATAAAGTGCATTTGATTCGCAGGCTAGTCAACCTCAAAATGGGTGAAGGTAACTCGGTTACTAATCATATTAGTGAATTTAATGCAATTATTGCGCAGTTGACATCAGTGCAGATAATATTTGATGATGAGGTGAAAACATTAATTTTATTATCATCTCTACCGGAAAGTTGGGGTGCAACTCGTATCGCAATAAGTAATTCTGCAAGCAATAACAAGTTGAAGCTTGATAACATCCGTGACTTGATCTTAAGCGAAGATGTTCGCGAGAAAAATTCAAGTAGAATCTTTCGGTTCTAATTCGAGTTCAAGCATTGAGTACCGAAACTAGAGGAAGAAGTCGCCGAAAGGTCGTAATCAAGGCCGAGGCAGATCAAAATCCGGAGGGAGATCACAAGCAAAAGTCCGGAATGATATCACTTGTTGGAATTGTCGAAAAAGGGCCACTTTTCAAATCGAGTGTAGGGCTCCAAAGAAGGACAACAACAACAACAAGAAGCAAGATGATGATCAATCAAGCAAATGCAAGAATCGATGAAGTTGAAGATGCACTCGTTATGTAGTTTAGATAATTCTATTGACTCATGGATTATGGACTCAGGTGCGTCATTTCATACTACACCTTCCTTAGAACTATTATCTAACTATGTTTCTCGGAAAGTTTGGGAAGGTCTACCTTGCAGATGGAAAATCTCTTGATATCATAGGAAGAGGTGATATTAACATCGGAACCTCTAATGGAAACGTGTGGACTTTGAATAATGTCGGACATATTCCAACCTTAAAGAGAAACTTAATATCTATAGGGCAGTTGGATGATGAGGGACATTACACCACTTTTGGAGATGGACATTGGAA